TTTAGAGGAGGGAACTACTTATGGGATGGAGCGATGGTTACAGTTCTAAATAACGTCCTTTCAACTAAAAGGGACAAAGGTCAGAGTTGGGCTTTTTATGAATCCGCTGCAGATGCTTCAGTGTTGGTGGGCCAGTTCATGTCAGGAACCCCTCATTATCAAAGAGCTTTAACCAATGACAGATGGATTTTCAACATCTCCTGTTGGGTGCCGCTGCTAAATGAACCTCTCACGTAAGGAAGCCACATTCAGATACTAATATTTAATCACAATTACTGACACTGATACGAGATCAAATAATACGAGATTAGTTGCTGCTAAATAACGTTTTTAACGTCTTGAGGCGCACTTCAGTCGCATAAACAAAAACTCGAGACTCGACTTGGACTGGAGGTTTGGGATAATAATGTGTTAACGCACCTAGCAGAGTGTACATTATACATATATGTATGTATTTACACATAGGAGTATATATATATAAAAGTCTAAAATATATAAATATAAAGGCTTTACGATGTAGCCAACTACACTTTACCATTTTGCGCCGTTCTCTTTGTATTTACTTTGTCGACCAAAGACCTCAGTGAGTGGTAACTGTCGGGACCAAAGCTCTGCGTTTAGAGGTGCAGTTTTTTCCCCACCTGAGAAACTGGGTCAGGTGGCTCTGCTATTAGGTGGGCATGCAAATTTGTTGTGTTGCATTTTAATGTTGCCACCACTCTCTAACAAATTGAATATACTGGGTCCTCTGTGTTATTGGAGGCGAAAGACGCGGAAAACAAACATGTACGCACAAGGCAGTTTAAGTTATCAACATCATTTTCATTTATCGTGTGATCAAAGGATTAATTGATCATCGTCCCAGGCCTATTTCAAACCTTTGTTTCCAAATGCATCACACCACAACAACGTTTTTCAATAGACTTTTATTTCCAAAAAGCAGTCAGAGAAAAGTAAAACAAGCCAGTCAGTTACAACCAAATAATGACAAAAAAGAGATGAGAAGAAGAAAACTTAGAAAACTCTACTGGAGACAGAAGGCCTGATGATATTTATATACAACAGCAGACATCTTTTTGGTGTTGCAGTACCAGTGACTCACTCAACAGACCCGTGGTTTTCTTCACATCATGTTAGAATAAAACATAACATAACAAAACAGAAGTTTTTTTGATTCGCTCAAACGGTCAGAGAAGGTTCTAAGAGTTAGCTAAGGCACATAGAGCCTCCCCGGTAAAGTAAGACGGATAAAGTAGTTGGTCAGAGACAAATTTGTGCAACAGTTGCTCAACAATACATTCCAGCAAGAACAACAACAATCTGGCATTTGATTATTTATTTTTTTTCTTCTGAGAGTCTAACCAGACAAGGCTGTCGTCCAGAAACACTGAAACACTTGATCAATACACACCATCACCGTCAAACTCTTAGTTAATCGATATCATTAAAAGCACATCTGTATTTACACGTACAATACCTCTGAAACAAGATTTCAATACAAAATACTTATGTACATCTTAATTTGTTCATGTGTTTAAATTGTTGCCACGTAACCGATAGAAAGTTGTGTAGAATTGTGGGAGTCATTGAGAGTAGAGTGGCACTTTAAGATGAGAGACGGCAGCTGTGTCTTCACAGTCCGGGCCCAGAGACTGTGTCCATTTAAGACAGAAGAAAGGAAAGTCTTTGTATCAAACACGTGTGACACGGAGGACAGATGAAGTCAACGATAATGAACACTGATGTCTTCTCATTAGTCTGGGGCGGGGAGGGAGACAGAGGGGGCGGTAAAAACACACTCAGTCAGCTGCAGTGATGGATAAACAGTATTGACACAGATTACACACTGGCACCACACTAGAGGATGTTCTGCCCCACGAGGACACCAATCTGCCCCGCCTCACAGCCTGGTGGTTGTGGCTGATCTTGACCCAGATCGAAAGGGTTTGTTTACACTCGCTGTTTTTGGTAAAAGTAAATCCATGAACCAGAGGTCCCCAAACCACTGGGTACTGATCTGAGAACCATTTGGTACCGCAAAAATAAAAAAAAATTTTGTTTGTATTCTGTACCAGCAATATACAGAAAGTTAAAGTTTTTTTAACCATAATCAGTAACACTGACATATGCCCCTCCACTTTTCAATTTCCTTGAGATTAAAAACAAAACTACAAAAAAAGAAAAACCTTAGAAGAGAGGCTCTCTATATGTTATTAAACAGACGGTGGTGCAGTTCAGTTGACACCATATGCTATAAACACAGTATCAACAAACTACAGACGTGTGATGTCACAGAATGTGACAGCACCTGACCAAAAATTAGAGCATTGGAAAAAAAACCCTAAAAAACAGACTGAAGCTGAATGTGGTGTGAAGGGTCTAATCTAAACAACCAGTCCCACCTTTGTGCCACGACCCACCACTTACTGTAACGGACGCTTCACTTCTGTGCAATATTTTGAAAATCCTCTAGTGCGTGCCCCTAGAGAAATACAAAAACAAAACAAAAAACAATTGTGACAAATGCCAAATGTGCAGCTCTGTCTCACTGTCTCAGATGTCCACAGATTGTCTTGACGGCAGAAAAGGACGTAGAGTTGAAAAGGTGCCGTAGAGCCAGTTGATTAAATTATTCACGGTGCATTCAGATCACAATATTCCAATAATAATATTAATACTCACTTGTATTTGTACATTATTATCACAGCAGGATTTCTCAGACTCATGAAAACAGTTACTCCTTCAATCAAGTTTTTTTTTTTTCCTTCATCTTCACTGAGGTTTTCAGACCCGTGACCTGTGGCTCTTTGCGATGCATTTTGCGAACAACAATGTAGGACACAAAGAAGAGGCTTTTAGACGGGATGACGCAGACTTACACACAGGTGTGGGCCATAAAAAGTGTATGATATTGGTTTGGGCTGTTGGCCTTTGTAAATAAAGGCGGCTTCTTTACAAAAAAATACTCATCATGCTGCCAAGGCAGCGTTGTACTTATTTAGTCACTGACTAAAAATATCAGTATTCATACAAACTTATAAATAAATAGCGACTCATGGACTCACCCCACCGCCATTCTCTCATACAATTTTCGAGACGTCATGTATAATTATGTACAACATAAAATGTCATTCAAATGACTGGAAAATATGGAAATAATAGAAAAAAAGATGACACTGAAATACAGGCAGAAACCTTAAACGACCGGCTTGAGATTAATGTGTTTCAAGTTTGTGGCAGTTTGGTAAAAAAAAAAAAAAGACACTTTAAATAACGATTTAATTTTCTCTTTGTCTCCTGTCTGCCTGTCACAACATCTGGCTTTTATTAAAGAAAACTAAACTGTTGTCAGTGTGAGGCTGTAAAATACAGAAGAGCTACAAATGAGTCCTTTAAGACTTTAGAATACAAATGTGTCTACTTTCCATTTCTGTTTATGAGTGAAATGGTTGTAATTATGCAGAGACGGCCTCTGTATTTGTTTGTCTTTGTTGCACATTTACAAAGTGTGACATCAGCAGCAGCAGCAGCAGATGGCTGAATGCTGCCACAACAATTTCTAATCCTTGTGATTTATTTTAATTTTCCTTAACAATTGTACAACACACCATTCTTTACTTTGTCTTGTTAATACAATTTCAACATAATTTGGACTGCATATTAGAGCTGCAACTTTGATTAAGTTGTTAAAGAGAAAATTCAATTTAATCACCCCATTCTCTTACCCCTAATTTCTGGCACACTCCAGTCCAGAAGGTGGCAGTTTTGGACCTTAAGCTTGTTTGAAAGAAATCAGTTTAATTTTATGATGCAGCTTGGATAAGATCGTGGTTGTGTGCAATAAAGTGTTTTACTATCAATGAAGTACTTCAAGTCTACTGTCTCAACTTAGCTAACATTAGCTACAACAGACCTGGTACAGACAACAGAGCTAACGTTAGCTACAACAGACCTGGC